AACAATAAATACATACCATACAAGACTTGTATAACAATGAATATATACCATACAAGACTTGTATAACAATGAATACATACCATACAAGAAGTCTACGGCGTTTTTATCATCTTGATGAAGCTGTATGTTTTTACTCTTGAATTCATACTCGGGATGCATAATGGAACTTTTGTTAACAGAATGAGCAACACCTACAACATGGCCGACTTCATGGACAGCCACTGAAAACAAGTCATATGAACGCTTCAAAGGATCATCGATATTATCAGTGAACACTTCGTCTTCATCAAAATGAATTTCACCACCAGTAGGGTACTGCGCATGCGCCAACACGCCATTTTTACCATCGAAAGAGTATGGACAGTTGCCATGGGAGCCACGAACAAAACTAGAAAAGAAGATGCTTATGATGCGTTTGGGATGGACAAGGACTTTACTCTGGAGCATGCCCAATGAGGAAATTATATAATAATGTGCAGTGGTTCGATCACTAAAATGCTAAGCCATGTGGGATACTCTAAGAATAGAAGCATGTTAGAGCATGCGTGATGGATAACTCATAAGAAAATGCGTTTCTCTACAAACTTACGCGATTTTGATGGTTGCTTTAGATATATCAGAGACTTTAGTGAAAGTGAGTACAGAGCTGTCTGACCAAACTTTAAAAGCTTTGCTGATGATGTTTTCACAAACGGACTGCGTCAAGTCTTGGCAGTAGTTAACAAATCCATAAGTCAGAGATGACGAGCTCCATGGCTGGGCTGATATTCCGAATCGCTTTGTTATCCCTTAAAATAAATGAGTATATATACAGTTTGAAAACTAGTCATTTCTGACAGAGAGTTAGTGATGACAGTAAGAATTAAAACACTGTTTTTGATTGGTGAAATTAGAGTTGTCAACAGGAGACACGAAGAAAACAAGTTTTTAAACTAAAGAATGACAACTAGAAATGAGAACATTCATTTAATTTGTGTAAAAAGAACTCGACTCTTACACTTTTGCACGATTCATTGAAATTGTATTTTTCATTTAATGACATTATCTTGATAATAGTACATCAAACCAGTACAAGGTCCAATTGTCAAGTTCGTTCAGTTGAACAACAATGGAACGTGTATTTTACAGGTTTTGTGGGGCCTTACCTGTGCCTTCGTAGTCTTCTTCCACGTCAGGAAATCCACATCTTGGTTTCCGCATCTCTTTTAAGGTTGCATCGTCTAGTTTACCAGTCACTGGTAGCTGCATAAGGTCCTGGTACAGTTGTAAGGCGGTTTTCCAGTCATGATTTCCAGATTTCAGTGGTGAGAGGTAGTGATATCGTCTCAAAAAGTTCTGGAGAAAATGATTAAGATTAAAGTTAAGATATTAATGTTATTGAATTCTAGGATTGGACTACAAACCTTTGCGAAGATTGTTTCTGACACAGTTCGCTTCTCTTCAGCAAAGACAACACAAAGTGATGTTACAAAAACACAGAAAAATATTATCTTGTAAGCCTGTGCCATCTCGGTCGACCCTTTGTTTAATGTGCAAGCTCACGTCCCATGTTTTCACATATATAGAGATTGAAAGCTATCTAGTATGAGCCAGATAAGCTAGWTGAAGTGATAAAGCTTAGTTTTAATACATCGTTGAACCTTTGCGTTGTGTTGTAAGCCATTTTTAAACCTAAACTAAAACAAAAGACTCAGAAAAAAGACAAAGTTTGTTTTGTGTAGGAATATTGAGATTTGAAAAATGAGAAATTTACTTTTGGATGAGAATCTTGTCTCCAAATTGAACCTGGTAAACATCAAAGACTAAGAAATTACTTTGGTGTGGAGGATCTAAAATCCCAAAAGATCATCATTGCTCAAATTAGAACGAAAGCAGAAAAAAATTGATTTGTAAGAAGGAATGATAGTTTGTTATCGCCAGCGAACATGCAATAGATCGAACTATAGTGAAGTGCTTAATAGTAATTTTACATTTTACTGGTCATTTTAACATTTTAGCGACAAACAATTAATTTACAACCGACCTCTTAGTATACTTACTCTATTGAACATAAGAAAATATGATAGCTTTTTCATGTTAAAAAGCATGTGTATTGAAAAGAAATAAAGCAAACAAGATTTTGCGCAAGTTTGTGAGATTTGTATGTGTACATTTCTAATTCTTGCCGTCTTTAATGGGGACCTTAAAGTTTTAGAAATGATTCACTCGTTAGATAAGCAAACTCTACAACAACCAGAATTGTGACAGTTTTGATAGATATAAAGTAGCTATATCTTCAGTGTTATATACGAATTGTTAGTATTTGATATTTTGGCATATTTAGATGTACTGTCATACTGTCAGTACTCTGATAAGAGCTTTAATCTACCCTARGATTATCATCTCTTGTTGCACTTGAAACCAAATGCTTCTTTCCCTCTGGTTTTACGTGTCTCCAACCTTCCTACACAATGATATAAGGTGTGTCAACCTTGTGCACCTTTTTGTCAGTGTATGTAATGTCCGATTGCGAGTCTCCACCGTCTATCACTTGTTCCAAGTTCAGATATTGAAACGAAACACAATCTTTATTAATCAATTTATCTCTTTACCTCCTGATTATATGTGTTGATCATATATTCTAGAATGACTGATCTTTTTAATTGTTGCCATTTACAAGCATCTATCTATTTTACCCGTTAAATATACATTTGCATTGTTTGAAATAATATTTCATTGACATCTRTTAGTTATGATTTGCTTTGACCTGGAAAACAAGAACATAGGAAAAAATAAATAGGTCCCTACCAAGTGTTAATTCTTGACTGATTTGAACTGATTTTATTTTTAATGCAWCTTACAAATATTGTTGCAGACTTTATAGCAAAGTCGTTGTATAATATCTTGGTGGCAGCGAGCTTTCCAATCAGAAGTGAAGCACACATCCGGGACTTCTTTGCATTCTGTCGAACAATTAAACTATTTTTTATTGTTGTCAAATATAAAAATAACTGAGTATTTCCCACTTACTRTTTTTGTCAACATTGATTTCATCACCTTAAAAAGATGACATTATTTATTAGTTTATTGACCGRKTATTTTTTCAACCTCGTCTCCAGGCCCTTAACYCTTCGTTTTGGGTCCCGCCTGAAATAAGGGCCTAGGAACGAGGTTTTCATATCAGTTTAATGAAATGATTCCCTTTTTGAAGTGGTTTTCTTGTCAGGATTGATTGTGGACGTTTCTGCCAGCAGGGAAATGAGGCGATAATGATGTCACATGGCGACAAAACGTTGGTCAAGATAATGGTGATGATTGACACCTGTCAGTCAAAAGAATCTCGAATACTAGTGAATAACAGTATCCAATACACCAGCTCGGGAACTCTGTGACCCCTTCTAAAATACGCCAACAACAACAAAATCAACAGCGATACCCTTTGCTTGTAATTTGACAGATTATTGACGGTAACTTGAATCTAAACATAATTTACGAGAAGAAACTTACAAGAATCACACATGTTAGGACACATCTTACGAACAGCTGCATTGACTTTACATAGAGACTGGAAATGAGAGCACATCTCACTGTCTTTAAGCTGGCAGCCTTCGAAATGAACAACAAATTGTTAGTCCGCTCATTGCCTTTGTACCACTAATGAGAAAGAAACACTTATTATAGAACGTTAACACTGCGGCATAAACAGAAGCAGAGACAGATGAAGCTTGTTCACTCTTGACATAAGATGGGCTTATCAGTGGCGGATCCAGGATTTTTCAAAGGGGGGTTCAACTTTGTTTTCGCATTTCCTAAAACGAACTTTTTTTACTGTGCCTCTCGAACTGTAGCAAATGTAAAGACACCCACATTTAATTTATCTTTTTTTTATGCTGGAGGGGGGTTCCTAGGAACCCATGGAATCCCCCTGGATCCGCCACTGATTATGGTTCACAAATAGATGATTTCATTCTTCTGTTTCTGCTTATGTTGTAGTAGTGTAGACCTTATGATGCAGGGATATTGTGACGTACCTTGGATGACACCGCTGCCATCTCCACCTAATGTATACCAACGAGAGAGAAACAYATCCATTAGTGCCACAGCCAACACTAGTACATGAAACTTTCTATATGATGTTCTTTATGGCGAAAGCTCGAGCAAATACAAATCAAATTTGTTTAGGACTTGATTCTAAGATAATTTATCTATTCATTTGATGAATGGATGGATGAAAAGATGGATAATTTAATAAAGGTCCGTTTATCCATCTTTTCATCCATCCATTCATCCCATCCATCCATTGTTCTATTACCATTCATTTCTTACTGACCTTGAAGAATGTTGTCAATCCAAGGAACATAATTCCTTACTCGAGCAAAGACGGTGAAGAAATCAGGGGAGCAGTCACCCCTCCCCCAGCTTACAACTCCTCGCAGTAGCCAACGACCATCCTCCTCACATACCAACGGACCACCACTGTCACCATGGCAGCCTCCTTTGTCGCGATTGAAGCCTGCGCAGACCATAGTTTTCTCGTCCACGGGGTGGATAGCGATATTTCTTTTGTAACACTCATCATGRTTGACGATGTTTATTTTGGCTTCTTGTAGATACGACGCGAATTCACCATTTGCAACAGTGTGTCCCCAGCCTTGTTGAGAAAATTGATAGAGAGTGATTAAAGKTTCTAGAATAAGACATCATCTATGGAAAATAATGCGATCAATGCTTAAATTTAGGAATATTGTGCGTCACGTTGACAATTAGAATCTTAGAATTATGTAATATGTAATCTAGAATGACTAAATGACTACTCAGTGTGAACTAGAAACTTGTTTAAATATACGCATTTTTTATTGATCATTGGTTCTAGAACGCACCTGTAAGGTAGCATTTTCGATGTTCATTTGCTGGTCCATCGGTCATTTGTGGTAGACATACTGTATTAACCCTAGGGCTTAAGATAACGGGTCGTTTAAGYTCCAATAATGCAATATCATTCTCCATAGTCTTAGGGCTGTATAGCTTATGGATGTGTAAAGCTTTGACTGGAATAATTTGCTGGTATTGGTTACCACCATACAACTTATGACCACCTRRAAATAACGATCATAAATCATGACTATGATGTCAATCAAAGAACGGAATAAACTTCGAWTCTTACCTAAAACAGCTTTGTACATGTCAGGAAAGGGATAATCAGCTAGACAATGTGCTGCTGTTACAACCCACATGGGTGCGATGAGAGATCCACCACAAACATGCCAGGAAGCAAACGCTACAGARACCTGCCACGGCCATGAATTAGGGGCAGCGGTCTCTCCTCCAATGACTCTCATCCCCGATGGACGATGACCACAACCTGTGTAATTTATCAAATGTCGTAATGATCTACAATAAGACGTCACGATATATTGAATGACGTAAAAAGTAATATGACGTCATAATGAGCAGAAAAGAGATTAGTGCCAAAAGACAGCATGTTGAAAAATGACGTCATAAACTCTCTATATAAAGTTGATGAAAAGTAACGAGCTTGGTAATAACGATAAACCGAAGATGACTTTAGTCGCATTCCATCCACAGTCCTTGGTCTATGACGATTTATAACTATTTTTAAATTGTAGAATTTTTTAGTGAAGGACATGCAGTAGAGTTGAGTATCGTCTTTTTAAAGACGATACTCAAAAAATTTAAAAATCAATTTAATCAATTTTAAAAATTTAAAAATAAATCCAATTAAGGACTCAGAGCAACATCGATAAGTGAATGGCAGCCGATATATTTTTAGGACTGAAAAGTAAACACTTATTCGAACAATATTAATTCAAAGTAATAGTTTATTTTTTTAGCTTGCGAGTATTGACTGTTCAATCGTCCTCAGACACCTCRCCTTTGCATCGCTCCGTTGTTTAATCAAGTACATTTTTGAACAAAGCCGCTGAATCAACATTGATTAATAACAGCGGTAGCTTCTATACATATAACAGGTGTACTCTAGAGGTGTACAAGACAATGGTAAGATAGCAACCCGACACAAGAATACACCTTGGTGGTTGCGAGATTATTTGTGTAACACAGAAAATGATTTTTTTTCTAATTTAAACAGGTGTTAGCTAGATTTGTACAATTCTGATTCCGTTTATGTATGTTACACAAGACTGGACTAGAAAATAAATAGGAATTGGGTTTCACTTAGCGAGTATGTGGCCTCTTTTTGACACCGTGTTTTAATGAGTACTGCAGCTATCTTCAAACAGGAATGCCAAACCATAACAAAGAAACGGTGTGTTTGGATTTGYTTTCATATTTTGATATGCACGAATGTAAGGAACACCACTGAATACAATGGAAAGATGAGAAAACCGACTGACATTTCCTAACAAAAAATTGATAAAAAGCAAATAATCTTTGGGATGCTTTCATTTTTGTATTGTTACATATGTCTAGTATTGGTGAAAGGAAATACTGTAAAAAATAGAAAAATAGATGAAACAGAAAACAAAATTGTGTCAGAAGAGAATAAAAAAGAAAAAAAAACGGAATTTATTGATCTGAGGAAATGCCAATGAAAGTTTAACGGACGAGAATTGAATATAAAAGTCTTCTAAGGTCTGCCAATCATCATCCAAAATACAGAATCAAGGTTGTTAGTCCAGAAAGTATTCGACTAAAATGCTGTCATGAAGTCAAAGCTAGTAGATTTTGTTTTTGAACTTGTTCTACTGAGGCTGGCCCAATACAAAATATAGCGTTTCAAAAGGGGATAGTTTTATAGGACAAAGTAAGAAGTAATATAGTACTGGCCAAGCTTTAGTTGTTTGAGTGTTTTGATAATAGGAATTTTAAGGAATATGTGGGAGTTCCCAATCATGAACTGAAAACATTAACAACATTCAAGTTTTTTTCTGTGATTTCTTCATTATTCAGTTCATCATTTCATCATGTTGATATAATATGTAGAACTCGTTTTCAATTTCCTACCAGCGCGAATAACGCGGCGTGAGTTCACTTTCATTAAAAGTGGTTCAATCGATCTTTGAGATTTCATTCAACTGTACGTAAATGTGCTAAAATAATTACACCTAGAATACTACATTGAAGAATAACCCAGCGTTAAGTCCTGGAAAGCTAAGGATTGCATCGATATGAACAAAAAATGGCGGAGTAATACTTAGAAATGATAAAGTTTTTAAAATACTTGAAAGCCACCAAATTCTATCTAAGATTAGTCACGCTTGCTTTAATATGAATTCATTCCCTTTCCCAATGTATGAAGAATAAAACTAGATTTTTTAACTGAATTTATAGCTTTCTTACCTTGACCATTTGTGGACTTTGMAAACATCAAAACTAAAATCCCTAAAGGAATAAGCATGACGAACAAGAGTGAAAACCACCTTCAATGAAGTGGCTCTGATACGAGTAGAGTTAGTTAAAGCATAGAGTCGATTCATGTTTGGTTTGTTCAACAGCTGCGTAACTCGGGTTGGTGTTGGTAAACACTACACTGTCAAACACCGCTTGTCTAATTAAACCACAAAGTATCGACCGGTTGTATTCAAAATGGTGAAAATCAGAGAGTCAATAACTACTGTAAATAGTTCGGATGAGTTTGGATGGACAGAGATGCGTCGAGGTTGTAAATTTTATTTAGTATGTCGGAAGAAGGACTTCTTTGTTTGTTTTTCGTTTGGTTCAGTATTTTAATCATTATCATTCCATTTCTCACCATTTTCTTTCAGATTCTATACCATTTTTGCTTGTTTTCCGTTCAATGGAATTCTATTTTCTCGCCTATCCGTTTTGCTGTTTTGTTGTTGTTGTTGTTGTACGACTCCGAGTACATTGTCTTTTTGCGCTATAGTTCAATAAAACTTGACTTTTAACTATCTTATTTATTCATCCACTGTGCCTTTATTCATTTATTTTTCGTGCGTTCGGAAGATAAAACTTAAAGTGCAAATTGAAAGATCAACGTCCGAAACACGACCATCAGTAAGTTACTTTTTGAATCCTCAAACCCGCAGAGCGTTTAACAATGAAATCTTGGAAACCCTGACATCGACGCACCGTCATTCATAACATCTTCCTCTTACTCATTTAACGTCCTAAGTGATTACGTGGAATTATAATTATATCAAAAATCAGCCTAAGATGTTTGTTTTGAACACTTTCTACAGTCAAGGAACAGTATCAAATCTAGTCGGCCATCTTTGATCAGGCCGGGCTGATCTAGGATGTTAGTTTAATATTCTAAGCAAAACAAATACGATCAACTAATATAAATATGAAATCTTATAAGATTGTATGTGTAGTATTTGTAGAACAAACAATGTCAGAGTTGTAACAGGATGAATGCTTCAGTTTTGGATACATGTCATTGTTTAATCTCGATACCAAGCAGATTAGTCCTCTTAACCTCGATCTGGTGCTTAACTAATCGATGGTATTACATCAGTACGAAAGTTGTTTCATTTTTTTTCTGCACTTTTAAAAGCTCGACAGAACAATAAACATCTGTTTCACAGGATTTTATTGTTAGCTTCCAATAATTTCATCTTTTATTAACAGTAGATCAAGATTAATGTGAAAAAGAGATTGTTTTGCCATGAGATAATTTCACACACAATGGCTTAAATTGCATGTACTGATTGGAGTGTCTTCATATACCATGTTTATAAAATCTATAAAACAAAATAACATCGGAGATCAATAAGTTTATTCGACTTAAAAAACTTGATTTCACTGCAAGTTTACCTTAGCAAAGTTTGCAAGTGGCTTTACAGTATGTTGTCATGAATAATCCATAATGAGAGCCACTGCAGAATGAACTGAATCGCTTACAGTGAACATAGCTGTCTGTACAGTCTAAACATAAACAGTGTCAATGTCAATCAATGAGCAATCAATCCATCATTAAATCTATTAACGATTATCAAGCAAGCAAGTAATCAACCAATCAACTAATCAAGCAAGCAAGCAACCTATCAACTAATCAAGCAAGCAACCTATCAACTAATCAAGCAAGCAAGCAAGCAAGCAAGCAAGCAAGCAAGCAAGTAATCAACTAATCAAGCAAGCAAGCAAGCAACTAATCAAGCAACTAATTAAGCAACTAAGTAATTAGCCAATCAACTAATCAAGCAAGCAAGCAAACAAGCAAAGCAAACAAGCAAGCAATCAGCCAATCAACTAATCAAGCAAGCAAGTAAGCAAGCAATTATTCGATAAAAACGGCAAATGACTAACCTACGTACGTGTCGATCCAATCAACAAAAGTACTGACACGCGCAAACACTGTATGATAGTCAGGAGAACACTGATGTCCCCAGCTTACAACCCCTCTTAGAATCCAATGACCCCCCTCTAGACAAGACAAGGGGCCACCACTGTCTCCTTGACAACCTCCTTTGCCATCACCAATGGCGCATATCATGGACTCCTCGTCTACTCGCTGAACACCGCTCATTCGGTTATAGCATGTATTAAAGTCATCTATTTTCAGCTCAGCTTCTTGTAAAACGTTCATGGATTGCCTGGCCTCATTTCGTCCCCACCCTGAAGACATTTTGTGTCAATATAGACTTTAAACCTTTGAATATCACAGTATTTCACAGTCATTGATGAATCTAAACATGACGTCATGTTGTTTTTTTTTTTTTTTTGTCGAAATGCGTCACGGTAATAATATCAAGATGGCGGATGTGTTAAAGACTGCGAAATGAAACGACGCGATGATATGCGAAATGAAAAGTTTAAAAGTTTGTCCGTTGTCAAGAATGCTTTGGAGGAACACGACTAATAAGATGGCTGCATACTATTCAAAAACCAGTCTGTAAAATAATTAAAGCTTGTTATTGACACCAGAGTTAGCTCTGCTGACACACAACCAACGTGGCTTCAGTTTATACTTTAATCCCATAGTGCATCTGGACGAACATCATATGACATTATATGTTTATTTAGTTATCTGCGCATGTTGAAGAGTGCTATGGTTACTATGGTTACTAAATATTACAATATACCTGTGATATAACACTTGGTTCCAATCTCTACTCTTTGTCCTTGTTCAGGTAATGAAATGATCTTCACACCTTTACTCTGTTCAATCGGTCTTTCAAGTTTTAACAAAGCGATGTCGTTAGCGTGGGTTACCGAGTTATATCCTTTATGGCGTATGATTTTTGTGATGCCAAGCTTTTCTTGTACGTCAGTTACACCTGTACGTTGATGAACACCTTGAAAAGCATCATGGGATATCATTTATGGTACTAAAAGCTATCTTTATGAATCTTTTCACATGTTCGTCAATACTACATTCGACTTTCAAGTTATTAAGTGTTTGTTCTGATGAGTTTTGTATATACAACGCGGGTTCACTGTGTATCTTCGATAATGATACCCACAATGCTTTTCGAACCTAAACTGGTTGATAGGCTTGTAACGACTAAAAGTATTGCATAGAAACGWTTTTAAATCTGCTGTACTAACCTACAACCACGCCGTATTGTTCTATTGAATCTGTCTCAATACAATGAGCTGCAGTCAGGACCCATTGTTTTTTGATGAGCGATCCGCCACAGATATGACTGTTGTGTCTTTCAATAGAGACTTGCCACGGCCATTCATGAAGGTCAGCGGTATTGCCATTTACAATACGTCTTATTCTTTCAATTGATTGGTCAAATTCTGAAAATAATATACAAATTGATTTAATACAGCTTTTCCATGAAATTCCTACAATTGGCCCTAACTTCGATTTCATGTATATATATCCATTGAGGCGAGAAGCTAATCGGCCCCTAGACCATTTGCAATCTGCCCCTTGCACTTACCAGGCAACTATCAAAAATATAAATGTCAAATCGGGTTAGTTTTTTTGGCGAAAGTGCAAAGTGTTCTACTTTTAATGAGCATACCCCAGTGGTGCGCGGCTCTGTTAAGGCGCTGAATTAGCAAATGTAAAGGTCGTGACGAGATGAAGTCCTTCACGTAGGAGGGTCCTTCTTTTCCTTCTTTGAATTACTTCATCGCATAAAATTCATCATTTCGGCTCCTTCATGCAATCACGATAAATGAACCTAACAGTTCCCGCAAGTAAAAAGGGTTTGGGTGAAATATAAGAGAACCAGTCCATTGTAAAGGACGATAAAAAGCAGTCATTGTATATCAAACATTATATATTAAGCACGGTACATGAAGCCTTCCGAGTTCAGTCAATTCACAAGATGTTATTTAATTTAGTCAGGTCACTTGTGTCAAGGTTGGCAAATCATTCTATCGAGAATATCATTCAGTGCTAACACAGCTTAAGGAGCTGGTAAAGAAGAACTAGGGTTATTTAAGAAACATTATCCCTCTACTAACCTTTCCATAATGAAGAACGTTGAGTCTGATGAGAACTAAAAGACACAATACTTGGTACAAGCAATACACACAACATTGAAATCTTGAACTTCATATTTGCCACGTTCTTCGGTTATCCAGCACTAGTTACTTCTGATTACCTTTAGCGAGTCCTTTAGATATACTAGCTTTAATTTGAATGTTAATAAAAGGTATTTGGAGACGGTAAAGAATACTAATTTGGTAGTATTGTATTCAAGTTTGTGATGGGCGTGTCATGTTTTGTCTACAGGGAGGGTTAGAAGGCATTTAAGATTGACAAGTAGGGATGCAAGTCAAAAGAAAATGGTTAAGAAATGTGCGCAAGCTAAATTTATGAACACTCTTTGCGAACTACCCCGCCYCCACCTCCCTCCCCCTTTCCTGAATTCGTTCATGAAGCGATTCTATTATTATCACTGGCCGGTCAATTAGATTCCATATTGTTTTGCTATAATTCTCAAGAGTATAGCTAATGGACGAATAAAGCGGCCGGTAACCATTGATTCTAAAGAGCACTAATTGAACAAAAAAAAAATTGGGGTTCATCCTCGGAAGCCCGGATGCGTCTTGAGTAAGAGACGGCGTCGGAAACTTGCTCAGGCGGAAAGTTATAGTTTGATTTCCGTGGTTTAGTAAGCAATTTCATAACAGGAAGTTTAAATAACAAAAATAAAACGTTTATGCAGTTGACTCTCTTTGAACGACCAATCTCGTAAACGACCATATCGCGTAAGCGACCACCTCTTAAATTTCCCGTTATAATTGTTTCCCATATAAACTTTGTAAAAAAAACTCTCTCGTAAGCGTTCATCTCTCGTAAGCGACCACTTTTTCCTGATCCCGAGGTGGTCGCTGACGAGAGAGTTGACTGTACCATTAACTATTTTAAGAGTTTGCTTTCGTCTATCGTAAGATATCGTTTCCTTCTCGCATGTCATTGATTAACTCCACAAACAATTGACGCACATCCCRTGCTGCATAAATGGTAATGTACCTTCTCCAAATAAACGGAAACTCAATGAACTATGTAAACGTCTTTGGGAGGATTTTAACTCAGTCTCTTAAAATATTTATGCTTTAAAGACCCGATTCCGGAACCTTCGGAAGTTTAGTATGCACGTAGCGAGAAAAGAAAAAAATAGGCAGTCGAGGACTGCATGTGACTCAGGCCATTAAGAGATTTAGTAAACTTCGAATACACTATCTTACAACGTTTTCTGAAGTAGCTGTATACGCTACAAGAAACTGGAAGCATCACGTGGCGATCAACYATTACGTTGCCTATRAATACACAACAGGCGKCGATTCCCAGGGGCCAAGGAACCTATTGTGATGGTTGATCATTCCTCCCGTGGGGGCCTGACGCGGTTTCGCACTAGCTGTTTTCCTGCCTACAGTAAACATATCAGTGTCTGAAAGATTCGGAAAAGGGATTTTTATCTACGACATGGAGCGGTCCTTACAGCTTTAATTTGGCTGTAATCAAAGTCATCTTTCTGTATCGCTTGGTATCCGTTAACTCTCGTACGTTTTCTTCGATAAAATGTTTTTATTATCTAAAACTGTATTTTTACATCCATGTTTTAAAATTACTATTATTCGATTATTATTCGATTATTCGATTATAGCTTTGCAATGAAACCGAAAACTTGCAGTAAGTTTTCCTTGATTTCTTTATCAATTTTCATCTAGTAGGGATTATAATTCATCCTCTTCAATTGTTARCATTCAATATGTTTATATTCAATAATGTGTAAACTTTAATATCATCAAGAACGAAAATGTACATGGAACTTATTGTGTTCCGTTGACTGAATCCAGCAAATATCTGCCTGGTTTGTAAACCACTTAGGTTAAGAATTTCAAGAGATTTAAGTGCCCTGGTGTTAATCCGAACACTAATAATTTCTGTCTGATATAAGAACTGTATTTTCCTGTGATGATTTGGAAAACAATAACGACAATTGAACAGCTCGGTGAAATCCGTCACAGTACATCGAACAGCGGTATTCGACCGCAAACCAGCACTCAGCAGTCAGCACCCATCCCCACCCCCCATCAAATAATAAATCTACTGAAGAATGATTATGCAAAGCCTGTATCTTTGCTAATTCCCGAGCTGAGCTCTGATTGGCTCGCTGATCCCTAAGGGTTTTGGTGACGTCATATATTAGCATAGAACTTCACCGAATAGACTACCCCAATTAGATATTAGATATCTATAAGTGTCTTCATAGTACGATGGTCTAAGAGGGTAGCTAAAGGTATGCTCTAGTGGGCGGCTACCCCCTCACTCCCTGGCCTTTTTGTTAAGACTAAGTTTTATGTTCACTCGGGATAGCGTGGAAGRGCCGAAATCTCTAACCGTAACGTAAGCCGATTCGCCGCCTCAGCTTCATAGAATGTCTCGGGGGAATCGTCCCATCTTTTTATTTTTTTTTATTTTCATTATTTCTTATGTATTCAGGGGGGTGCATCTTCTCCTTAAGTGAAAGTTCTGAGTTCGAGTCCTACTTCTGGAATTTCTCTTTTTTTCGCTTGTTTATTGTTTCTTTTTTTTGTTGTTGTTGTTGTTGTTTCTTGTTTTGTTTTCTTCTTTCTTTTCTTCTTTTCTTCGCTATTGTGACTTCGTTTTTTTTCTAGAGATTTTCTCTTTTCAACTTAGAAATATCAAGGACTCGCAAGGAACGCCTGCTACAAATAAATGGTTACGGTTCGATCACCAACACGATGACCCATAAGGCCTTTCGTTACGAAAACTGACTGTTGACGTAGTCTTCAGAATGATTCAATCTTTTKCGCTTGAAAATTGTGCCTTTTCATGCTTACTATAATGATTTGTGAAAGCGAGTCAAGTTATGTAAATAACTGGACTTCATTCTTTAAAACAAGGACTTGTGAGAAATGAGGGCGCATGCTTCTGATCATTGGGTTCCCTGTGTAGTGGTTGTCAATCAAAATCAAACAGAGAACACGATTGGATGAGTAAACTAATTTATTTTTGTTCATTCATTTTGTCTTGAGTGGAGCTTTCATTCCGTGAAATGGCACCACGGACCTTGAAATAGATAAAAACGAAAATAAATATGAAATAATATAACATGTCAGTCAGTCAGTTGAGTAATTGTTGATTAATAAATACTGTTATTAATTAGGTTCGTTTTCATTGCTTSTCTTCATATTAACTGTCTAAAACACAGCAGTGAACATATACTATCTTGACAATTCTTAGAAAATAAACAAACTATATAWACAGTTGTAGTTCTAGATCAATGTTCGATTGTTTTTTACCTAGCAGATGYCACAAGTCTTCTTGCAAAGACTTCTGATATTAGCATGGGAGTYGCACAGTRMTTTCCAGAYTGGACATGMTGAAYTGCCATCGCGACAGTCTCCTAAATGAAACAAAAGTATTTATTTACCAACCACAGTTTCACATGTCGTTACACTTCATTKTATATTCCCTCAGTTCTTTCTTACTTTTTTTATCTTTATTTTCCGATTTCAAATTGATTTCTCATTTTTTATTGTTCTTGGTTCATGTAAAATATTCTCCCTGTCAAACGTACCTCCCCCTCCGCCACCGCCTCCACCGCCTCCACCGCCTCCACCTCCACCTCCTCCTCCGCCACCTCCACAACCGTCTCCTCCGCCACCTCCACCACCGCCTCCTCCGCCGCCTCCACCACCTCCGCTACCTGTTGAATGTGAAAGGAAAAAAACGTGAGGTGAAAAATGTGATAAATCTGTAAAAATGTAAATAATCTATGTAACAAATATTTATGTTTACAAACACCTACATATCATGGACACCTTAGTGCTATCATAACCTGTTTGTTACAAACGCACTTCCGTATTATGAACATCTCTGTATTACAGCATACCTCTATATTACGTACGGTCACATGTTGTTCATCTACTTACCTATCTTCTGATTGATCCAACCAACGAAGCTGCTCACACGAGCAAAAACGGTGTAGTGGTCAGTACGGCACTTGCTGTGTCCCCAGCTGACAGCACCACGGAGAATCCCGTTRCACACAAACGGTCCACCACTGTCGCCTTGACAACCACCCTTGCCTTGTCCTCCAGCACAGATCATCGAGCGATCATCGACTGGGACGAGTTTGCCATTTACTCTGTTACAAGCACTGTGAGAAGCTACAGGGAGCATGGCCTTTTGGAGAGTGTCCGCTGCACTCCCACCACCAACGGTTCGTCCCCAGCCTTGTAAACAAAAACAATTATGATTGTCATCATCACTATACTATCTAGGATTTGTACATTTAATAAGCTAATATCTATTTATGAATATTTGAAATATATCAAATATTTTAATATCAGAGGTACCAGTATTTGATTCTTTATTTTTTATTAGTGATTGAACTGAAATATTGCAGACATTATTGCTACTGTTGTTGCAGTTGCAACTGTCATCACTGTATGGCATCAAGTGTTATTATTTTTCCCATTGGAATCGAATGCAGCTCTATCTGGAGGATAAAACAGTTGATTCTAATTCAATTGCCTCCCAGATGATGTTTCTTTTGATGCGAATCTATATGTAGATAATATTGCCATTGTGATCATACTAGTTCTATCATTGTCAGTAAGCTTTCATATAGCGGTTTATTGTACAAGTACAAAAATACAGTTTGTATGGGCGATCATGTTTGATAGCGGTGAATTCACTACTAACTACTCYGTGAACAGAGGTACTTTTCTCAGTGAGAAAAGTAACTTCGCAGTACTAACCACTGATAATGCAATTTGTCCCTGGTGGTACTCGGTTTCCGCTTGATGGCAAACTGATAGTTCTGACAGAGGAGGATAATTGTGCTGGTCGTTCGAGTTGAAGAAGCGCGACGTCGTTTCTAAGATTGCTGTACTGCTCATGTTTGTAGAGTTTCTTCAGCCTGAAGGTTTGTTGTCCAGCGGTTGATCCACTTATTCTGTGTGCACCTTAAAGGAAACAATTGTTTGGTCTTTACCGATTCTYCAACAGATAACGATCAATCTCCAACGCGAACTATAACTTAAGTCTATTCTTGTCTGTTCTTAACTCCTCTATAGTATAGCAAATAAGTGTTTTATTTGCCCACGTGTCGATCAAGGAGCTACAAAAACTCCTTAAAACGTGTGAAAGCGAACAAAATTGGATGGATTAATTAATCAATCAATCATTAGATAAATAACAATATTATTTTTAATATACATTGAACTGTTAGTAATTCTAGGTTTCTAACTATAACTTTGAAAATCTTACTACTATTACTTACTACTATTCTAAGTACACATTATCTCAGCGAACTATATAGTAAATAATGATAACACTGATGAAATCATGCTGTATACAGTCAAGAAAGCTCACCGACTTATCGAAGAGTATSATCAATGCTAACTACGTAACACGAAAACTCACCAGCCACTACAGTGTATCCGCTCGGGCTAGGGTTCCTTGCTACACAATGAGCTGCAGTAAGAACCCAATCACTTCTGATCAACGATCCACCACAGATATGACGGCCATTGACTCGAAGAGAGATCTGCCAGGGAAATTCGTTACGTCTGGCGTTCTCGCCACCGACAACACGAGAACTGGACAGCGTTTCACCGCTAGCTGCAAAGCAAGTGGTTTCGTGTGACTAAGACATGTACTAACAGATTTATCATTAAAAGTGCTTCGAAAAACWGTTTGAGACATAAAGTCATACACCAAATTGAAGAAACGTTAACAGGTTAAAAAAGGTGATATTATCGAAGACCGAAGGGGATTCTRGGTCCTTGGAAATTTGAACCGTTCAATAATGTGAAGTTTATATGATCAGTTTCCTTACCTTCAGAGATTGAAGGCCCAAACAGGGCTAACACCAATGTTAGACACCAGATCATCATATAGTAAAAGACTGTAAGCCAATACTACTGCTCCACTTGCTCTTGAACCTGCTTTTATGCCGTTTGTGTAGCATCACATCTGCAAGCTGAGCCTTCATGGAGCTGAACAATTCTTTGAAATATTTACTCAACATTTGGAGAAGATTTTACATYGATCGAAAGATGTCAAGATTTTCTCTTGACAATGTGCTTGTTGTACAATACATTTGTAAAGGTTTTGAAGTTTCTTTAGAAATCATTTTACAAATATTTATAGCACAGTCGTAGGTTGAGATACTATACAGCTGTACATGTTCTTGCAATATTTGTGAAGAGCGGTCACGTTGTTTTATTAGATGCTTGTTTGTCGAAAGACGGAGCCACGTCAAGAGATTTT